AACAGAAACATTCATGTATAAAATAATAATTGAACAGAAACATTCATCTATAAAATAATAATTGAACAGAAACATTCATCTATAAAATAATAATTAACATTATTTATCTGAGGAGCAGCTTTGAGTTTAACTCCATCACTGAACTCTCATCTTGAACAAGCATGAAGGCGACAGTGGAAAGAAAAACTCCCTCATGAGGAAGAAACCTTTAGCAGAACCAGGATCAGGACTAGAGGACCATCTGCTTCGACCGGCTGGGTTTGGTAGGAATAGATACACAATAGCAGGTCAAGAATCACATGTTAAGATAGAAATAGTATCAAATGAAAACTGTTCAATTTTAACAATTCATTTAAGGAAATGAGGTCAGTTTGTCCTCTAGTAGTCTAAGTCTATAGCAGCATAACAAGACAACCCTAACTATAGGATTTATCAAAAAGGAAAGTCTTAATCCCAGTCTTAAACTGGACAATGTGTCAGTCTCATGGACAGGAACTGGAAGTTGGTTCCACAAGAGAGGAGCCTGAGAACTGAAAGATCTTCCTCCCATTCTGCTGCTGGAAACTCTAGGAACCACAAGTAAACCTGCAGTCTGAGAGTGAAGTGCTCTGTTAGTAAAATATGGAACAATAAGATCTGTAATGTAAGATGGAGCTAGGTTGTTTAGGGCTTTGTAGGTTAGAAGTAAGATTTTGAATTCTATTCTGGATTTGACAGGGAGCCAATGGAGAGAAGCTAAAACTGGAGAGACATGATCTCTCCCAGTAACTCCAGTTAAGACTCTGGCAGCAGCATTTTGGATCAACTGAAGACGTTTTAAAGAAGTATTTGGACACCCAGATAATAAACCACTGCAATAGTCCAGTCTAGACGTGACAAATGCATGGAGCAGTTTTTCTGCATCATCTTTAGATCAGATGTTTCTAATGTTAGTGATATTACGCAGGTGGAAGAAGGAGGTTCTAGTAACGTTTTTAATGTGGGGGATAAAAGACATGTCCTGATCAAAAATAACACCAAGATTTTTAACATTAGAGCTGGAGGACAGATTAATGCATCTAAGGAGGGAGAAAGACTGAAACATTCATTCCTAAGGTGCTCAGGTCCAAAAACCAAAACCTCAGTCTTGTCTGTTCAACAGGAGAAAATTAAGGGTCATCCAGGTTTTTATGTCTTTAAGACGTGCTTGTAGTCTAAGTAGCTGATTGGATTCATTGGGTTTAATGGACAAATATAATTGTGTGTCATCAGCAAAACAATGAAAATTTATCCCATGCTGTTTAATAACTTTACCTAATGGAAGCATATATAAAGTAAAGAGTATTGGCCCAAGCACTGAACCTTGAGGAACTCCGTGACTAACTTTGGTGTATGAAGAAGATTTATTATTTACATTTACAAACTGGAATCTATCAGATAGATATGATTTAAACCATTTTAGAGCCGTTCCTGTAATTCCAACATCATATTCAAGCCTCTGTAGTAAAATATTGTGATCAACTGTATCAAATGCAGCACTGAGGTCTAACAGGACCAGTAGAGACACAAGTCCATTGTCTGAGGCCATGAGAATATCATTAGTGACTTTTACTAGTGCTGTTTCTGTGCTATGATGAACTCTAAACCCTGACTGAAACTCTTCAAACAGATTATTTCTTTGTAGATGTTCACACAACTGACCTGCAACTAGTTTCTCTAGAATTTTTAGATGAAAATTAGATTAGATGTAGATCTATAGTTGGCCAGAATTCCTGAGTCAAGGTTATGTTTCTTAAGTAAAGGTTTAATTACAGAAATCTTAAAGCTCTGAGGTACATAACTATTTATTAGAGACACTTTAATCAGATCCAAGACGTGATTATTAATTAAGGGAAACACAGTCTGGTTGGGATGGGATCTAGCAGGCATGTGGATGGTTTGGATGAGGTTATTATTTTTGATAATTCAAAAAGCTCAACAGAACAAAAACTGTCCAAACTTAAATCAGGTTCTAGTGACATTTTTAAAGTTGTCTCATCTGACACAGAACCAGAGGCGATAGTAGGAATGTTGGTTTGAATTTTCTCTCTAATTGAAATAATTTTATTTATAAAGAATCTCATGAAGTCATCACTACTTATAGTTGTAGGGATACATGAATCAACAGAGACAGGATATATCCATCATCTTTACCCGCTTCTTCCAATTTGGGTCACGATGGTCGCTGGCGCCCATGTCCAGCAGTCACTGCAGGGGCGGGGGACACCCTGGACAGGTCCCCAGTCCATCACAGGGACACAGAGACAACCACTCACTCTCTCTCTCCTAGAGACACTTTAGAGTCACCAGTCAGACGAACATGCACCAGAGAAAACCCACGCAGCACGGAGAGAAAATGCAAACTCCACACAGATTTGAACCGGCAACCTTCTCGCTGAGAGGCAGCGGCTCTGCCAGTTGCACCAACGTGCTGCCCCAACTCTGTTTATTTGTTATTTAATTGTTTATACAAGTAAACAACAACACAGAAATAAATGGTTCCTCTTTCTTTTTTGTTTTTGTTTACTTGTATTAAAAAAAGAAGAAATATAGTCCCTGTTTATTTTTTAATCCAAATAAACAAAACCAACAAACTGTCTTTATTTGTTTATCCCAGTAAACAAACAACAAACAAACAGTCGCTACATCTTCTTCATTTTCAGTTTACTGTTTGAAATCCTTTTATTTATTTCTGCACATCCTGTTTACTTCCTGGGTTCTGACTTCACGTTTGCTCCAGAAGGTTCTGGACTTCCAGCAGGACCACGGTGGTCCCGGTTCTGACCCAAATGCTGCTACGCTGGGCCCGCTGGGCGGCTCCTTTGAACTTTCAACCTGCAGTTAATTCTCTGAGCGCGTGCACTGACGTCATCCTGGCCCGGTCCAATCAGCCGGACTGTGCCCACAGCTGATCCTCTTCCTCACCACCTGTCGCTGCTTAGTGAGGTTCTGCAGAACCGGGACGGGATGAGTCCAGCATGGAGCCGCCGGTGATCAAAGCGTCCAGATGACGGAGGAGGAAGAGGAGCTGCCTTCATCATCATGTCGGTCACAACTCTGCCGCTGCTCTTCATCAACCTGGGAGGAGAGATGCTGTGCGTTGTGGAGCGGCGCCTGCGCGCGCACAACACGTCCGAGGACAAGTCGGAGACAGGTAGAGGACAGGTGTCCCTCTGAGACAACTGTCCACTGAAACCCTGTCTTTAACGACACGTCTCTTTCCTACTGCAGGAGTTTGGACAGAGACGGACAGAAAGAGAGGTACCGGACCGGACCGGGCCTGGCTCGGTTCTGTTCACTCCCACTGACTGACTCAGTTCTTACTGTGACACGGAGCAGCACGGATCGTTCCTTCAAAATAAAAGTTTGAAATGATCTCAAAGAGACAGCTGTATGGACGCTGTAAACATGAGCTATGACGTCATAGTTAACTAAAGCTGTTTCTATTTTCTTTGAAGTGGGTAAATAGGCATGCTGACCTCACTCCCTGTTTCCTGTTTGATCTCAGTGATGAGCGACATCGTTGGAACCATGTGCAGCAGAACCTTCATAGATGAACTTCTGAAGCCTCAGCAGCTGTTTTCTCACAGAACCACCAAGACGGTGCTAACACGGTTAGCACACGCCTCCATCATGAGGCTGAACCCGGCCAGTATGGACAGGGTGGGTCTGTAGAACCAGGCCAGATCAGGTCCGTAAAGATCCAAACCAGAATGGACAGGTCCAGTCAAGAGAACAAACCTCACAGGATGGAAACTCCTGATCTGGTCTCCAGGTTTTCCTTCCACAGATCCAGACCTTCTGGTAAACGGGTCCAGATCAACAGATCCAGACCTTCTGAAGCTGTTTTTCTTTAAGATTTATGTTTTGTCAGTTTTTGTCTCTGACCTGTCTCAGAGGACTGTCCTGACCTTTGACCTCAGACAGGACCTGGCTCCTGAGTTCTGGACCTTGGGTCTCTGTGAGTGTCAGAGAGGGTGGGGAACCCTGAAGATGAAACGATTGGTCAGAAAACTGGTTTTGGGTGTTCAGCTGAAGCGTGGAGCATCTCTGAAGCTTTACATGATTTTATTTCAAATGTTTTTAAAGAAACGCTTCTTGATGCGTTTCTGCCCTAAAATGTGAAAAAATACAAAAATATCTGAATCATTTCAGTCATCGAGCGTTAAAGCCTTGTTGCTGTCGACACGAGATTAATCTGGGACAAATTATTTTAGGATTAAAATAAATCACGTAGAGATACTTTATTTTAATTTAAATATAGAACACATTAATCAAAGTTAAATTATTACTTTATCAAATCATTTTAACCCGTTAAGTGTTTCTTTAATTTACTAATGTGTCCTAATTAAATAATTTAGGACATGTATGAGGACAGGAGGACATGTATGAGGACAGGAGGACATGTATGAGGACAG